AGCAGCCGGACCTGCTCCCCAGCCGTGGGCTGGCCGGGGGGCGCCCTCCGTGCCTCTGCTGAACGGGGAGAAAAGTAAAACCCCGGGAGCGAGCGTAGCAGACTGGCCTGAAGCCTTACCCGTGACGTACTCTGCACCCGATGTTCTGCACGATGAAAGCTGTCTGTGTAACCCCAGTGCCAAGAGTTACATCTACTAAGCAATTGGTGTGGTTGCCGCCTTTTGCGGCATAAAAGTTAGCCCCGCTTCTCAAACTGGTGAAACGCCGGAGACTCCCCGCTTCGCGCTGCGGGCGCCGAGACAAACCAGAGGGTGTCGAAGCCACTTCGGCCAGCGTTTGACCCGGGCCAAGGCTTACAGCTCCTCACGGGTTTCCGGTGGCGGCGAGCGTTGCCCCGGGTCAGGTCAGGAGCGTGACGGAGCAAAAGCACGCGGGCGCTGACGGGGCCGGCGCGGGGCAGAGCTGAGGCAGCTCCCCCGCCAGACCCCCGTCCCGCTGGGGCGCCTGCCCGCTCGGCCGAGCGGCTCGGGCGAAACCCCCACGCTTTGCTCAGGCTTTCCACGAAGGGCGGCGCGCCAGAAACCCCGGAGGGGCCGGCAGGACTCGCTCCTGTGCGTCTCTCTGCTGAGCGCTTCAGCTCTTCAGAAAAAGAGCGGATCCCTTCCTTCAGAAAGGAGAGCGGGGCTTGCTTTTTTTATTTTAGTATTCTGAATAAGCATTCGGTTTGCAGAGGCCTCAAGCAAGCAGACCCGGGTGCTTACAGCAGCCCTATCAGAAAAAAACAAACACCACCACCAAAAGATCCTGCTGAGACTAAGCCGTCTAGCTAAGCCCACCTAGCACTCTTCATAACTGACCCACATCAAAGTCTTTTCCTTGCACATGGCAACTCGTGCCCTTAGAAAGGCTTTCCTTCTCCCCATCCTTCACGTCTTACGGATGATAAACAAAGCCGCCTCTCTGAGTGCCGGGAAGAGAAGCGCAGTCAGGTCAGAGCAGCACCGTAAACCACCGTCACACATTCACAGGATAAGCACTGTCATCCTCGGCAGCAAATTCCACAGCGCGTTAAACCAGGCTGCCTCCCCGTGAAACGGCTCTCCAGATGCCTTTGCTTTGCAGACGCTTTTGTGCGATGGCGGTGACTACGTAAACACAAGGCTACACGTACTTCAAAGGCTTTGAACTAAAAATCGTTGATCTAGGATCAGAATTAACACACGTCTATCCCCCTCAGAACTGGATTAATAAAAAGCCTAATAAGCCTAAGTTTGTAAAACTACAGCCAAGGCCTTTACACAAGAAGGAGGCAGAAACCTTCTGCCCAAGGTTTTTAGCTGGTATCACACATTACCATCATGCCAGTTTTGCAATAACAGCACTAAAGCTTAAATTCCCTGGGGCAGCATAACCATCATCAGCCTGACAGACCTTGCTTTTAGGCAAATGCCCCTTTCAACATCTGATACAAGATGTGGGCCTCCAGGTCACCTTGGAGCGCAACATTTCACCAAAACACTTCAGAAATAATCAATGTAACTTTAGGCTGGGCTCCTTATTTTGCAGACAGACAGGCGGGCAGCACTCCTCCTAGATTACCGGCATCACAGGGAGCTTGTGTTAAGGTGCAGAAACACCTGAAGAAAAGGCTAAGAAAGCCAACAGATAACACCTTTCCAGCAAGACTGATACCGGAGTTCTTCATTTCTGTAATCCAACCAACTCTATTACATGAGGAAGAAGTCTACGGTTCCACTTTATGAGCTAGCTGCACCCAATGAATCCAAATCCCTCTAACAGCATTGCACTTGCAGCTCAGTAAACAGAGGCACCTGCAGGCATTACAGCAGCACTGAACACAGAACGCAGGTTCTCAGAAAAATCCACATACAGAGACTAATCAATTTCACTGTTCTTTCAGTCAGATCATGCTCCTTTTGCTACAGATTGTCAGAATTCACATTGAAATGCATCGCAAGCCGCTCTCGTGTTCAACGCCACGCCAGAGGTTTTATTATCACCAGTTTCTGAATCCCCGAAACAAGCTCAGTTTTCCACCGAAACGGACGCAAGATGATTTAAGCATACACATTGCAGAGGAGAATAGAGCAAACTATCTAGAGAATTCAACTCACAGACAAATCTCTTCAATACAGTGTGCTTAAAGAGAGCTAAAGGCAATCCCCAATCCCGGGTACCACAGACCAGAATAAGATGGGGAAAACAAAACACAACCAAACCTAAAAACAGACTACATCAAGCTATCAGGAACAAGACAACCAACAAAATCACAGCCCAAGAAGGAAGAAAACCCTAAACTGTAACTCTGGGTGAGAGAAAAACACCACCGTACCACATAGCTGGCAGAAGGAAAAAACGGCCAGTGATGGGAAAGAGGTGCAAAGAAGTCGCTGTTCTCCTCAGTTACACCCAGCTCTCCGAGCCACTCAAATAATTTGCCCCCAGCACCTAAGTCATTCCTCGGCGTAGTAGATTATTAATTAGATTAAATTAACTCTGAATGAGGCCAGCTGGCCTCTTTCTCATTCTTTCAGTCTGCAGTAACCATCTGAGCAACCTCCCGAAGTGCCTGGAGGGTACTTGTGACACTTCTGACACTTAACACCGGTAAAAATGAAATTAGAAAGTGAGAGTGCCTGTTCTGGGGAGCTATATCCATTCTCCAAAAGGCGTTCGCAGTGAATGCAGTCACAACACGGGGAAACACAGTGGGATCGGTCTAATACACCCTGCGGGAGAGAGCGGGAAAGCCGGAGCGATACGGAAAGCAGGCATGATGATCCCCCACCTTTTCTCCCAGGAGTTCTTGATTCGCTCCCCCAAAGTCGTCTGCTTTTGGGACACCACATTGATACTAACTGGAGAAACACCCCAATATGTCTTTTTAAAACACTGAGTGTTCCAATATGCCTGATTGAGGATTCATCAACCGTTGCAGGGGCCTGCGTTAATACCGGCCCCTCGGGCCCCTGCCTGTGATACTTCCCTGGCTTTATCCCAACATCGTTAGAGTTAACCCCAGAGCAAGCAAAAGTAAACGGCTCAAACCAGTCTTTATTTACATGCTCAGGGTAGGACGAACGCGCAAAAGCACGTGGTTGCAAAAGCATCGCCGTGCTTGGAGCGGGACGGTGAGAAAGCAAACCACCGCAGGCTCCCCTGCCATGAAGCTACCCCCTCCTGCTGGGAGGACTGGTTTTCTGCCGCCGGCCTCTCCGCAAGCGCGGCCGGGGGCGAGGACCAGGCTTCCTCCCCCCCAGACACGCGAGGCAGAAAGGGATCAAGACTCCCCTCACCGCCAGGCTGCCGTCACATGGCAGATCAACAGAATAAACAACCCCCACAGCGAATTCCGGGGCAAACGCGCTCTGCCGGAGCGCACTGCGTTATTTATTTTATTACTCTTTATTGGTTTATTGCTGTTTGTGTCCTTCCGTGAGCGTCGCCACTTGTAGAAGAAAACGCTCCCAAGGACGAACGGTGGCTTCGTGCCTTTGTGCAAAGCTCCAGCGGCTTTGCTGGCG